CGAAGGCGCCGCTGCTTAGAGCCCGCCCCTGCACGTGTGGGGCTGGCCCCGCCCCCAGGACCCCGCCGCTCCCCTCGGGGCCATTCGGGGCAGTCCCGGGCGGGGGAGCCGGGCCCCTATAAAGCCGCGGGGCCTGTACTGCTCCTGCTCCGCTAACTGCTCCTCCAGCTCCGGCTGCCTGCGGCGATGCTGCGGCTCCTCCTGCTTCTGCCGCTCCTCAGCGCGGCTGGCACCCTGCCCACCCCGCTCCGCCGCCACCGGAGCGCCTCGCTGCTGGTCGGCCCGTACCTGACGCGCTACCTGAGCCAGCAGGTGGGAGCCGGTGGTGGAGGGAGGGAGTTTCCTTGGGGAATTGGGGGACGTTTTCCGCTGTCATAATCCTCACTCGAGCCACAGTCGGGACACGACTATTCGAGGTTTTTAAAGAAACACCGAATTCTGGGTCCCTTTGGTAAAGCATTCCAAGCCTTGAGTGTTCCGGTTAAGTGGAGCTGTTTAAAGCGTCAGGTCGTTTGCTCCCTTTTGTGTCCGTGCACCGTGCCCTGGCCCTGGGGTCCGTATTCCCGCACACGCTGCACCCGTGTCAGCAGCCAGGGGCTGCGCACCGCGGCTGCAGCCGATGGTAGTGGCAAACAGCAGTCGTGCGGGGATTTTTTTGGTTGGTTGGTTTGTTTGTTTGATCGCGGAATGGTTTGGGTTGAGAGGGACCGTAAAGATCCATCTAGTTCCACCTTTCCCCTTGCCATGGGCAGGGACGCTTTCTCCTGGATAGTGCTGCCGTTTTGGTTTTTGCCTTTTTGTTCTATACTGGCTCTATATATTTGTAGCTCTGTAGCCTATTGCGTTAGTGAGTAGCTTTCCCAATAGTTTGCCATGGTCTTTCCCTAGGCAAAAAGACAAAACAAAATCCAAAGCTCATAGGCTCCAGAGAGGCCCCTCTCCTATCTTGCTTCTTCCCGGGAGCCAAGGCTGAGAACAACTCTTCGAGATACATTTCAAGGACAAAGTGCAACTAGTGCAGAAGAGGGCCTCCAGACAAGGGGCTTGACCTGGGGGGGAATTGCGTTGCCACTTGTCCTCCTAATTAGTGTTTTTTATCAATTATACTAATTTCCTAAAACTTAAAAATGTACTCCCCAGTGGGAAGGTGGGCTTTTGTGAAGCTCTTTCCATAACTGCCCTGAAAACCTTCAATAAAAATCCACTTCTATATTGCCCCTATTATATTGCCTCTAATAATATGCTATTATTTAGTAAAACAGATCCCTTGTTCATAGGTTTTAATGAAAACAGTGAACAGCTCCTTTGATGTGTCAAGGAGTGTCTGCATCGACCCCTATTCTGTACCTGGGTTTCTCAGGGGAGGCGGTGGTTCTTTTTACTGGGATTCATAGTAAGAGAGGAAGTTTTTTTCTTAGTATTGGTTTGTTTAGAATCAGGCTTGTAGCATGCATCTGAATTTCATGCTCTGGTCTAGTTAAGGAGTGGGGGGAAGGAGAAGGTGTTTAATTTACACATATAGAATTGTTTAGGTTGGAAAAGACCTTTCAGATTATCCATTAATCCAGTACTGCTAAGTGCACCACTAAACAATGTCCCCAACTGCCACACCTCTTTTAAAGCACCTCCAGGGTTGTTGATTTGACCACTTCTCTGGGAAGCCTGTTCCAACAGTGAATATTTTTTTTGTTGTTGTTAATATCCTGTCTAAACGTCTCTTGGTGCAACTTGTGGCTGGGCATCTTGGATGATACGTGGATCGAATATCTCCTCTTTCAGCTTTGTACAAAGTGGAGTTATGATGGAGTGAGCAAAATAGGAAGATTATGCTGAGAGAGAGAATAGACACGAAGAAAACAGATAACCCTTGTAAGATTATCCTGAAGAGCTATGGAATAATTTTAGGGTCAGGATCCCTGTCATTTGAGATGGGAGATGGGAAAGGATTTTAGTGAGAAATCCATCCACTGAGATTACAGTCTTCCTTCCACGGACAGTGTTACTGCTTCTGGGAATCCTTCTGTTTCAGGGGTCTCCCTGCATAAGTCATGGAATTTCTGCATCTTGAAAACATTTCTGCCTAATGTTCACTTGGTTAATGATTTGAGATTTGTGTCCCTGCATTAACTCCTCTATCAGCCCTGGAGCTTGTATTGTGAGCATACTGCAGATACCTTCTGCAGTGTGTGGCCAGTGTTGGCCCGGATATCAGTCCTGCAGTAGTTGTGTAATTAACCCTAATTGTTGTGGCACACTGGTTGTTGCACATTGTTATCATAGTATCAGTGATACTAATTCTGTGCTGTGGTCTGAACCACCCTTTGTCACCATCTGTTACACTTCTGTCCTCATCTCCTCCCGGGGCTGTGGCTTTTCTCCTCAGCTCTGGCACAGACAGCCCGGGTGTCATCCGGCTGCCAGCCAATCTGTGGATTTTGGGATGTAGATGGGTATTGAGACAAGGGAGGAAAGAGTCACAGGAACAACCTATTGTAAATATTGATGCCACATCTTTTTCACCCCTCTGTCTCTTCTTCTCATGCTTCAAAGCAAAATCGTGTTGGCCGAGAGTGTCTGCTTCAGGAAAGAGGGAACCCATTCACAGGCCTGGAAATCCTTGCTTTCTTTGACCAAAGACTTACTAGTATTGTTGAACAGAATCTGAGAGGTGTGTTTATCAAAGATTTGAATTCTGCTGCCTGGCACTTGAAAGATACAGAGGCAGCATGAGAGGTCTAATCACATGGAGAGCATAGGACGCACTAACAGTAGCACTGTGTGTAGAACTGATAGCATTCAACCCTGATGAAACATGTATTCAGTGCTGTTGTCTGGGAATTTGTAATCGCATTATTATTCCGTAATGCAACATAAAAACTATGATTAACATTTTAAATAAGGGGAGGTGATACTTTGCCACCTCTCAGGACCGTTGAAGTTTAATTAATTACGTTCTATTTCTGCCTGTGTTCCTTGCTGCCGAAGTCTTTATTCTTAGCTTAGGTTCCTGTTTTGATTCTTGTTTCTTTCTTTGGTGGTTTTCATCACAAGTTGAAATAATTTATCTAAAACCGTTCAATATAAAAAAAATACTTCATAGTACAATATTCTAACAGCAAAATATTGTGCTGTCAAAAAGGAAATTTTTTTATACCTATTACTATTAAAAATACCTTTAAATAGAGTCTTTAAATATTTAATACTTCTACAGAAGAAAACTTTGAAAGTGTAATTAGATTCCTTCTGTGATTTGTTGCCTGAAAAGTTACTTCTTGATCACTATGAATAATTTATTATTGCTGCACAGTGGAACCTCTGGGAATGACAGTCTGTAGACATGTAACATTGTTTGAGGGTTTAGTGTTAGCTTTTACTGTAAATCGGTGACATTTAAGTCTACTTTCATAAAAATGGAGAAATAACAGGGTCAGAGTTTAGCTCAATGCTCATTTGCATTAAACTTCCTCCTGTTTACTATTTTAAGTGTCAGGCATCCGTGATGATGGGGCTAAAGTCTAGAATATTGAGAAATCAGTCAAGCAGTGCCTGTGTCAGTGTGACTAGCATCTTAGCTTGTTTGCTGACCTGTGTATGTATTTAATACCTTTTATTATTTTGTCTTAGAGGTGAGATTTTTTTTTATTTTCCTCTCCCTTCAAAAGTAACTGATGTATTTCAGCCCTCTACTCCTCTTATATATGAGTGAGATTACCCCAGTAAAAAAGTACCTCATGCAGACCTAGAAGAGATGGCCCTTGGGGGGAGGAACTCTTCCATCACCCAAGTCTTTAATACATTTTGTCTGTTTTGGTGATGATGATCTCCTTTATAGCTTTTCTGATGTACTAATGTGACTTTTGAAGGTAAGTCTGTGGTAATTTGTTTGCCTGCTAAGCAGCTAGTTGTGATTTGTGTGTTAAATTAATCCATCCAAAATGGAACTTTACAGAGAATGTAGAATGTATAGAGCTGTATATGGAGCGCCACTGTTGGGATGGCTTCTTTGTAAGCAGCTGTGTCTGTGACCACAGTTCAAATCATTGGAATGACTTGGTGAAACATCTGAGATCCATCTAGTTCTCTTTACCCAAGTAGAAATAATCTTACAGCATACTGAGGAGGGTCTGGAATCAGTCAGTCCTGACCTTTGGGGAGCCTTATCTTGTACCTTTGTATCTCTGCCTTTGGCCCACATATCAGTGTTGGAAAAACCACAGCCTGAGAACTTGCGGTGCTTTATGTGCAGGACTGCTGAGAGCATGATGCCTTAAAATTCCTGATATTTGAAGGGTTCTTAGTGATAAACTCATCTTAGAAAAGAGAGTGGATGTGCTATCTCTTCACTCAATTTGATAATTGATGGCTGTGTGAGACTCCGTGCTGGTGAACCCTTCACCTCAATCATAATTGCTATGAATTTGTCTGAGAACCAGTGTAACAAGTACAAATTAATTTTTGTTTAGGAACTTACTGAGCCCTGTTCTTCAATCAGATTGTCATTTGTCAGATTGTCAGTTGTGTCACCCCTTGCAAAAGAAGGATTCTGATTACATTTCATATCTTCCTAGGTTTCACACCTATGTCAGTATCTCATAATAAATTCTCATGCAAGTCCTTGTGCTCAGAAATGCATCCACATATATTGTGTGTACATAAAAGGAAGATACGTTGAAGCTTCAAAGTGATGAAGTTTAAAAAGCAATGCAATTTGATCCTTTCTGGCTTTATCAGGTGTCTTTAATACCCTATTTTTTATTACAGACTGAAATTCTGAGGTATAGAAAATAAAAGCCCTGATTGAAAATGTGAAAATTAGAATGGATATGAATTTTTTTTAAACCTAATGAAGTAATTTTCCATCATTGGTCTAAAACTTGCTAAGGAAGACACAGACATAGATTAAGGTTATAATTTGTAATTCTGGTTAGCATATTATTTAGCATCTTATTGTGACTCAGGTTGATGTCTCAGAATAGTAACAGATGTCGGGAATGGTTAAGATGGGTTTGTTTTTTTATGCCTGGCACCATAACACAATAGCACTTTTGGCTTCTGGTGAAGGAAAAAACAAAGTGCTTTTTACAGAGCCCCTTGGTACCAATTAAAAGTTATGCTGGTGTTTAGAGAAAAAGTGATGCTGGTGTTTGTCTCTGAGGTGAATTACTTGGAATATGTGTTTTACTCATCAAGTAGTACAGGAGTACTTGGCAGCTCTTACTCTGTGATTTCATAGCGTGATTTAAAATTGGAACTGTAAGCTATAAACCAGGTCCACAAGCAGGAACAATAGCTCTTACTCAGGGGACAGGAAA